GTGGTGCTCCTTGAAGGTGTTCACGCTGTAGTAGCCGTTGGTGGGGTCCTGGGGAGCAGGAAAGGAAGGAGACAGGTTGGTGGTGCCCATCCTACATGTGTGTGCCTTTGGGGCACTCACCTGGCAATTCCACCCATGATAGATACTTGTCACCCTTGTAGAGCACTGTGCCCCCAATGCGTCCATGCAGCTCGGCCCTCTCTGAATAGGGGCTAGAGGGAGGCATGGGGGCCCCTTGCCTAACACCCACCTTTTCTTATCCTGTAAAGGGCTCTGGGACCAGCAAAGAGCACTGTGGGTACCAAAGCATCCTTCCCTGTGCAGAGATGGCCCTTTGATATGGGGGATGTGGACCAAGGACAGAAAGCGCTGCTGGGTGAGAGATGAGCTGATCCTGCCCTGTGGTGGGCATGGAGATGGGTGCCCAGCACCTTGGGGTGCAACCACCTTGGCCATGTGCCGCAGGGGTAACTGGGGGGGTCTTTGAGCCACATCTTGTCGTGGGGCTGGGGATGAAAAGGGGGGATGCTCACCTTCAGGTTTTGAAACTCCTTCTCCTCCTCCTTGAGCACCTCAAGCTGCTTCAGCACCGAGTCCTGCTGGAACTCCCCCCGGTCCATCTAGGAAAGAGTAGAAGTGGGTGTCAGCGTCCCCACTGCAAGTTGTGTTTTTTAACCCTCTGTTTAGGACTAGAAAGGCTCAGCTGATGTGGGAAGTGAATTATTGACATCTACCATGGTGAGTGCTGGGACTGCACCCAAACAAACCCCCAAATCTCCTTTCTTGTTGTTTCTTCTTTCTTTTCATCCTTTCCTGCTAACCTGAACTTGGCCACCAACACCTCAACATCCCAGCCATGTTCTGGCATGTATTTAACATGAAAGCCTTAAATTGACCCACGCACTCTCTGATATTGGCTCTTCTCAAACGATCTGAGTCCTCTGCCTGTCCCCAGGTGGGTCGGGAGGGGATGGACAGGCTGGAGAAGCTCCTTTTGATTTGATATGAGTCCATTTTATCCTCCCGTTGCTCCTTGCTGGATGCTGGTGCCAGATGCTGCCATCCTGACATGCTGCCTTCACCCATCTCTCTTCCTTTGGAGGCTGACCATGATCCAGGGGGGCAAGATCCACATTAATTAGACAATGGCTTTAATTACCCTTTTTTCAGCATGTTGGAGCTGTGCAGAAGCAGAATGTTCATGGAATCATAGAGTAGTTCAACCAACTTCTTCCTGATCAAACACCTGCATTCAGGTTTCTCTGCCCCGGTGCAGGGCTCGCAGCATCAGCTCAGCCCCCAAATCCCCTTTTATGGCCCAACTTCTCCTTTTTGTAAAGCTGGTAAGTGGTTGTGTAAACTCACCGTGCAGCACTTTGTGTTCATCTCCTGGAGGCCTTTGATATGGCTATTAAATGCAATAAATTTAAGTACCTGAGTTATCCTAGGGAAAAAAAAAGCCTGTAATGGCCATTGATTTACCAGGGTAAATACAAAGGATTACATTCAGTATAGCTCAAATGGTACATAAAGGGGTTTTATTGCTCTGTGGGCTGCATGCCAGCCTCAGCAACACCCTAAATCCCCTAAAGCATCACGGTAAAGGCATGGGATAGGGATGCATGCAGATGTACAGCACCCATCACAAGGGTTTCCCAGGTCCTGGCTTAGAAAGAAAAGGAGAATTCACTTCTCCTGCTTGGACATGGCTATTTTTTGGTGTGAGTGACCCTGGTCTTCAGAGCTAGAGATGGAGAGGGGAGAACCAAAGGGACAGTACTGCTGGTGGCATAACCTCCAAAATGGGTATTTCAAGACATTTTATGACACCTCTTGCAACGATGACTGGAGTGACTAGCTAAAGTTAACTCTATTACCAATATTAATGGAGATTACAAGTGTAGAGGCAGCAGGGGAGTGGGAGGAGAGGGAAATGCATGGAAAAGGAGACTGGAAATCATAGAATCAGAGCATGGTTTGGGTTGGAAGAGACTTTGGGATCAACTCTGTCACACTTACTCCTGGCAGTGGTGACAGCTCCTTTAGGATCATCAGGTGAGGAAACTGGGGCGCAGAGTCCCATCAACCAGGAATAAAGCCCAGTCACCCAGCTGTGATAACAGAGAAGGTTACACCGTGTTGGAGCTGATGGTGCTCCTCAGCCCTCTAATCACAGACTGGACTCAGCCGAAGCAGCATGCCCATGCCATGCGTCTGATGGGATGGAGAAAGCTGCTGCTGTGATTTATTTTGTCCAGGATCAGACCCTTTAATGGACTCTTTTGCCTCCGGTCCGCAGCTGCTGTTTGCTTTCCCTGCGGGCTGGCAGCCTTTTCCCTGCCTGTGGGCAGAGCAGCTAATGGAGTTGGGGAGCTGGCGCTGAGACAACGTGACCAAATGCAAATCAGGCAGCATGACATGTCTCCTAAGGTGTTAATGAACTTATAGATGCATGAATAATTATTTGTGAAAAGCACGGAGAGCTGCAGAGGTCACAGATGGCTGGAGAATAACAATTGCAATGGTATTTAGCAGGGGGAAAGAAGAGTCACGCTGGCACTTTGCAGCCAGAAAGGCTCCGGCAAAGCAGAGACATGGGGAGATGATTTCAAAGGATGCTGTTGAGGTTGAGCCTGGGCTTGAAAAGCCATAAGAAGCTTAGAGAAGGTAAATGAAGAAGCTGTGGGGGAACTAATGTATGGGGAGGAGGGAAAGCAGGGAGGTCTTGGGGTGAGGGCATGGAGCAAGTAAAGGGTGCTGTGCAGTGCTCATCACCACTCATTGGAAAGGATGGATTTGTTTTAACTTGATCCATCATTTCATTGGCAAACTTGGAGCATCTTGTTAGGAATCTGTGGAGCAGCTGAAGCCTGGATCTCGAATGGCCAGAAGAGGATGCTCGAAGAGCAAGGAAGAGGATGAGGAACAGCGGGGGATCCCTGAGGGCTCTGAAGAAAGAAGAAATTGGGAAACATTTACAGGGAATGCTCTTGCTAAGAACAGGTGAAGAGGAGGCTCTGGTCAAGGCATCAGAGGGGCATTTGTTGTCTTCTACCTGCCAGGTAGGATGTCCAAATCTGCCCAGCATTGGGGTCATAGAGTATGACTATTTCTTCCAACCTTTTGATCCAATAATGTTATTTCCAACTGATGTATCTTCAGGAAAAGCCTCTGGATTTGGCCAGGAGAGGGGGAAACTCACCTTCTCCCAGCCCAGCAGCCAGGCTGTTACACTCTTGTACCTAAAATGCTTGACTTTGCCTCCCCTCTTTGCACTTAAATAGCCCCTTTATACCATGCTGTAACCAAGCCACCTCTCCGAAGTGTGGCTGATAAGCTAGAACACCTGAGCTCTGTAAACCTCTCCCTGTAAGGCATTTATTTCCCTGCGATCAAATAAATGTCATTCTTTTTCTGTACTGTTTCCATCCTGCCAGCATCCTTACTGCACTGTGCACAGCACAGCCCTGCACTCCTCCTGCCCAGCCTCATCAAGGGCACCCACTGATGTGAAATCACCTTCTGGCTCTGCCCCAGGGTGTCTTGCAAGATCCCGTGCCTGGCATCCCACAACCATCCTCTTCTTCATTTATTCATCAGTGGTAGGTGTTCCTTGTGTGTCCCCTCTGCTGAGGCTTTCAGCTTGGTGGTTAAGGTCTTCAGTGGCATTTGGGCTGCTCTCAGCCCCTCTTTTGGAAGCCAGATCCAGGCTTGCACTGTTAATCACTGAGGTAGAGAGGGTCCTATGACGAGGAAGCTCCTCATCCCCTGTCATCTTGCTCCAAACCCAAGTGCCAGCCCCTCCGTCCTTCCATGGAGTTCTGTCCTTCAGCACATCCTGACATGGACCTGCAGACTCCTCAGGGCAAAGTCCTACTGGGAATGAGGGGTCTTGCACAGAAACCTCAGCTGGGATAACATGCCAGATCTCCACCTCCTCCTGCTTTCCTGCTTCTCATTTCAAGGCTCCTGCTGGTTTCTATGCCCACCCTACAACGCTCAGCCTTGCCTTTCCACCAGTAACTCATCAAACAGCTTTTTGCATGTTGATGCTTGCAAGTGCTGCCTAAAAACCAGAGAGTTAGAGCAGGAAAAACCCACCCAGCAGCCAAGAAATCAGCCTCCAGCCTCTTCAATCCCTTCTCCCTCTCTTCTTGGCTCTTTTCTCTCACCTTTCATGGCTATTTTATTGATTTATTTGTTTGATTCACTCCAGTCCACGGGCTGAAGATGAATTTCCTAGGCTGTGTCGCTTCTATTTGCTGTCTGCAGCTCTTCCCCCAAGCGAGGTGGCAAATTCCCAATAAACCTCTCCCATCTCTCTCTCCTCATTAGCAAAGTTTCACTTGAGGAGCTTTTATGGCAGGAGAATGTGTATCTCAAGAGTAGGATATTAGGAGAAACATCTTTGCCTGGAGTGGGGATTACGGTGCTGAACTACATGTGTCTGGGCTCGTCACCATCAAACGTTTACCTGGAGTAATAGCTTAAGGGGAGAAGAAGTTAATCCTTACCATCAGCTGCTTGATGGTGGGGTGCTCCTCTGTCTCCCTGCCCGAGGCTGGCTCCTTGTGCACGATCTCCACACGGATATCATTCTTGGCAGAAACCACACCTTTGAGATCTGGGCAATGAACGAGATGGAGAAGGGGATTAGTCAAAGGCAATTGCGGAGCATCCTCAGGGACACGACTGATGGCACCAAGGAAAATTAACTGTGGCTCAGCAAAGCCACCTGAGAATTGTGGGGGCATTGCCATGAGGTGAAACTATCACTTCTGGGGAGCTCAGATGTCTATTGTAATGCCTTTGGGAGCTTGGTTAGTCCCTGCCATACTCATGGTGCTGTTTAACTGTGGCTTAAACAGATGGTGGGATGTTTGTCCAGACTACTGATGCTTGGGGAGCACCTGAAATGCTGCTCCTGAGGGATACACTGGTACTGGGAAGCCCCTGAGAAAAGCCTCCTCCAGGTTTGGGGTGCAGATACATATGGGAAAGGCCAAGCAATGAACAGAGACGGGGCTTTGGGAATGACAAACTCATCCCTGCTGTTGCTCCAAGCAGCCTGTTTCCACGCAGGGCAGAGAGAAGCGTTTCTGGAGAGACTCTCTGCATCCCCTGAAGGTGTCAGGCGTGCTTTGAAGAAGTCATTTCAGCAAAGTGAAACCACAGACACGGAGCAGCAGGAGCAGAAAAAGCCGCACGGATCTGAGATGAAAAGCAGCGATGGATGCAAATCTGAACAGCGAGATCTAAACAGCTCCCAGCTTTGAAGCCAGGCTTCAGCCTACAAGGTGGCTCCCACCTCCCGGCTGCCTCTGCCAACCCTCCCAGACCCAAAACTGCCTTGAGCTGCTGGGCTCATCAGATCTGCCTCCAGCCGGAGGACTCAGCCCGGCAAAGGCCAGGACATGCAGGAGGAAATGGTGATTGTATCTGTGACCCAAACTGAATCATGCAGCTGAGCCCAGCTTGAAGCTCCATTCTTGAATTAATCTGCCCCAGCATCCTGTGCCCTAGGTATCTGCAGCCCTGCTGCTCCCCATAGATGTCTCCAAGTCTTGGAGTGCAAGGCAAAGGGTTTCCTTGGGAAGCTACCACTGCTTTTTCCTCTTTTCTTCCCTGCTGGGACCATGTTCCTGGTGCTGGAACCTTTGTCTTTAATCACAAGGAGAAGCTAATTACTGTCTTGCACGTTCTCTCCCAGGAGTGTTCCCCCTTAAATAACTCTGGGCCGTTAAGTCACCGAAGATGCAACAACAGATGTGCAGTGAAGTGGTTTCTTTTCCCCGTTTCCAGAGCCTCCAGGCTCAGTGTCTGTCTGGGAGAGGGATCTGCAGTCATCCTGGTAGGAAATGAGTCCCTGCCCTGACACCGAAGTGCTCTATTGGTCCCCTCGCTCCTGTGCTGATCCCTGTAATCCCTCTGCCGATTTCACACCACTAACCACGATGAAAGTCCTTTCCTCACCTTTCATCCTGGTGTTTCTACCTTCCTGATACTCACCTGCTGCTGGAGATAGTGGCCACAGCATCCAGTTTGCATTAGCACCTGCAAAATTGAGCTAAAATCCCTTCACCTCTCCATAGGGCATGACAAGGGACTTAACACTGCAAGAGGAGTTGGAGAACAGAGGTGGAGCAGTGAGCATGCTGAGAAGATGCCCAGACCCGGAGGGCTTATACAGGAGACCAGAAAGTCCTTTCTAAGTGGGACGTCACTGGAAACACAGTGGAGGAAAGGAACTTCAGTCACTGCCATGCGACTATGTAACCTCTTCCCAGCCCTGGCAAAGCAAATGCCTCTTCTTCCTGATTTACCACTGGGAATCCAAGGGATAAATGGGAGCAGACATTTGGCTGTGATGGGGTTGTCCCCTCCTGGAAGGACAATCCCTGCTTTTTCCCTCACCCTCTGCATGCTTCTAGCTTGTGAGGGACTCTCAGCCCTGGCGCTTGCACCACATCTTTGATCTGCTGTCACGGCATCAGTGTTAAACTGTATGTCCCATAAAGAACCCTGCACCATCTGGTTACATCAGATAAGAGGAAGATAATGAACCACATGCTTTTCCTGGCTCTGAAAGTGGAGAGCATGGATGATTGTGTCCCACCATTGGCATGGTAACAGCGTTTTAGCTCCTGCTTCTTCAGGTGCTTGAACTGTCCGTCACTGCTGAGTGATCTCCACAGCCTTGAACTGGCCTGGTCTTGGGTCCTGCCCGTCACCAATCCTTCCCCAAAAAGCAAGATTAATGACTGCCCCCATTTAATTTGTTAACACTTGTTAATGGGAGCTGCAAGAGTTCAGAAAACCAGGGGATGAGACAGGGAGAGGCATCATTATTGCTCTCAAAATTAAATACATTTCTGCTGTGGGAGGCCGTGTGTTCATACCCAAATCCAGGAGGAGCTTGGTGCCTTTGATTGCTTTGTAAATGATCAAGGGGGGGAAATGAAAAGAGAAACAAGTGGGGTTTCTGGCACACACACACAGAGCTTGGCATCCCGGCATCCGTACCATGCATCTCCCAAGCCTGCAGCACCGTCGAGTATATCCTCTTCTCCCTTAGTCTGAGATGCTCCAGACAATCCCCACTCTTCTCCCTCCTGGTTTGATGCCTTTTCATTTAGCCAACAATCCTGCTTTAATTTCCTGGTGTCTTTTTAATGAGGCAACATGATACCACGCTGTTTATCCCCCCTGCTCCTCTACCTGTGTCTCTAATGTCACTATAACTTGTATTCCCATCACAGACAGGCTTCAAACCCCATGTGTCCCATGTAAAACCCCTCAGCTGGCTGTGATTTCCCTCTAGGAAATGCACTTTCATGTTGAGAAAAACAGAATTGGATCAGAAGTAGAACAGAGAACACAAACTGAGGAGGGGTTTTAAGCACCATGGTGAGGATGCTTTTCCCTCTTGGATATTTCCCCAAGGGAGGGATTAAGCACAGGTCTCTTTGCTATCCCTTTGTCCCCAGGACACCCGTGCCCGAGCTGCCTGGGCTGTTAACAGGGATTAACATTTAGCTGGCATCTTTCTCCACGTGCTCTGACACCCTTTTCCAATAGGAATGAGCATTTCCCATAGGGATGACCAACATGAGGAGCAGGTTGTGCCAGCGCGTGTCAGTAAATTCAGCCTCTATTTTCTTTGTGACCCACTCTATTCACCCCAAGGTTTTAGCCCCAGAGGGATGCAGTGAAGCCGAGGGAGACACTTACTCCTCTGGGAGCGGGCACAGCAGAAGGCAACAATGGTGGCCATCAACACCAGGAACGCCACGCCGGCCCCCACGGCCACTCCGATGATAACCGCCATCGGCACCGACTCTGCAAGAGGAAGGAGAGGGAGCATGAAGCCAGGATGAAGGTCAGAGAAGTGGCAATTCCTCATGGGACCCACCCCTGGTTGCTGGAAAGAGGCTCGGTGGTGAGCCTGGGGAGGGTTTTGGGGCCGAGTGGACCTCCTTCCCCATTCCCTCATCCTGGCATGGGTGACGCAGGCACAGGCTGCTGTGGGACACTTGGGATTGCTCTGTGCCTCAGTTTCCCCTGGGAGGGACTGAAGAGGAGGGAGCCTGAAGAGCAGGTTAACAACTGCTCTCAATAGCACCCTGCAGGTGAATGAATGAGTAGCTCTAAAGGATGAGAAGTGCAAAATAAGACAGTGTGTTAATATTACTAAGGAAGAGGAATGGCATTAGAGCAGGCTGGGAGAGAGCCGGGATGGGGGATGGAGTTGGGCACTGAGCCTCCCTGCCAGAGGCTGTAGCTCAGCTCTTAGCCCATGCTGTTAAGTCTATATGGATGAATTAACCCAAGAACCACCATTCACAGCCTCTGCCTGGTTTATATCCCCATCTCCTGCCTTTCCCCTTGGCTTGTCAGCTCTGTCATCCTTCCCTGAACCCCTGAGGGTGCTACAAGGACTGGGACAGCAGGGATGGGCAGAGGCCGGGCAGCTGAGCAGGGGTTACATGCTTGCATCCTTCTGCCTACAATAACTTTGTAGTTGGGTTCCCAGCGGGGATTTCAGACCGCGGCTCAGCCAGCAAAGCTGATTTATTTGCGCAGATCCAAGCAGCAGCTTGAGAGGAGAGGGGAGGGTGGAATATGAATGCACATTTATGGAGAAAGGGTCAGATTTGCGGCCCCAGAGCCTTGTTATCTCCCTGCTCGGTTCCTCCGGTCCCTCAAAGCACAGCTCCTACTTAATGGTGAGTGCTGGGCTGGTGCCTGCTTTCTGGATTATTTCTAGGCAGCAACAGGCAGTACTCCTGCTCGCGGGACGGCAGTGCTGGGTACCACAAATCACCTTTGTTGGCTGGGATGATCTCCCCACAAGCAGCAGATATCTATAGGTCCCCATTCCTGTTCTTCCTGAGCACCCTATAGGCCCTTACGAACCCACAGGAGGCCAAAGGATGGGTAATCCTTTCCAGGGTGGCTGGCTAAGCCGGGTGAGTGTGTCCTCACCGCTTTCCTGGACACCTCCAATGCGTGATTTCCCCTTTCAAACGGATGGGATGAATTTAGGAAAAGACGGGTGCAGAGAGTTGATCCTCCTTCCTCCTCCTCTGTGCAGATGGGGACATGAATGTTGCTGGGACAGGGGTGATCTGCCCGAGAAACAAAACGCAGCAGCCTCATGGCTGCCACTTGACTGGGTGAAGAAGAAATCATTTCTCATTGTCCACTGGTGTGGAGCTGGTGATGTCCACATTTAATCCTGGACCTGAGATCACTTAGTAGCATTTCAGTGGTCCCTGATATTCCCTTTTTAGTGACTGGGGAGCTGGGGCACAGAAGGGTTTGCAGATCGAAGACTGGACCACAACAGCATCCCAATCCATGCCCCAGTCACTGCCCTGCAGCTTTCCTATACCCCTTTGTGCCCCTTCCTGCCCTGCCTTGCTGGGCCAGGAGGAGGACGCCGGGTCCTCAGGCATGGTAATGGCTGGGGACAACCCACATTCACCGTCAGCTCATGATTTCCATACCTGCTTGAATACCAGCTCCTGATTTCATTTCCGTACCTGTTTGAAAATAAAGCAAGTGTCCACAGCCTTGCACAGCCCAAGCGCACACGTCAGTCCTGAGCGCTCAGCCCTCTGCTCCGCCTCCTGCGCCGAGCACAGGGATGTCCCCATGAAGGGGATGTCCTCTGCCACCCTACAGCAGCGCCAGCCACCCTACGGTGTCCCCCTGCCCAGGGCAGGGATGTTCCTAGCAGGGATCTCGGATGCGGAGCTGGCTGTGGACTTGGATGCTGCGGAGCAGGCTCGGACCCGGCCACCCTCCGCCGGGACCCAGGCTCCCGCTGACTGGCAGACGACCTGGAAAAACCACTGGCTCTGTTTGCATTGGAAAAAGCCCAAGGCTAATTTTAAGGGGTTCATTTAGCTCTGATCTAATCTGGACGGCAGCCTTGCCTATAAATCATGGCTTAATGAGAGCAATCCACCTGCCTGCCCTGGCATTTAATATAATAGAAGAGGACTGGAGTTCCTCCAGGAGCTAAGTGTTCGTCACAAAAGCCATCACCCTCCCTTGCTATGGAGAGTGGAAATCCCCGGGCCATCCCTTCGGGATTGCTTGAGGTGCCTCTGAAGCTGGTTGGGGAAGCCCAGCCCTGCAAAACACATGCTGGCACAGTGGCCGGTGGCCAGGATGGAGGGTTGCAACCAGATCAAATACCTTCTTCTGTGCTCTGTGGAGCAGTGGGGTCTGGAGGGAGCACCCATTCCTATTTCTCCAAGGCTATAATTTATCCTCCAGCCTGTGCAGTGGTATCACCTTGTGCTGTGTGGCAGGGAGCGAGGGGTGCAGGATCGTCCCATGCACCCCAGCTTTACAGAATGGGTAAAATCAAGCAATATCATATCAAACAGAGACTTTTCAGGGCTTGTTCCACCTCCTGACCTTTGCCAGGATCAGGTACCCTAAGGATGCAATCCATTTAGCATGGCTGGAGCATTCTCACCATCCTCCCTAACTTCCTCTGATATCCCAAGAGCTTTTCTGAGCACCTCCTGCCTCTCACAGCATCTCCCCACACTTACAGCCCAGCCAGGTGCTAATTCCCACTGCCCAACAGCCCCACCAGCTCCCCAGCGATGCCCACCTTGCTCTTTGAGCCGGATGATCTCCGTGTCGGAGCCGAAGCTGTTCCAGGCAGTGCAGTTGTAAATGGTTTGGAAATCAGCCCGGACAATATTGCTGATGGTCAGCGTGGAGATCACACCCTCATCCGTGCTCACCGTCTCCACTGTGTAGCGTCCAGATGTCCCAGACTCCAGGACGTTCTCCTTCCAGGACCAAGCCTGTCAAGCAAGAGAAGGGGTAAGCCTGGGGCAGGTCTGCCCGCTGTAGGGCATCTAAAGGTGCTGAAGGCACCCACCGTGCCCATGGGATGCTACTCACAATTCGGTCTGGTGGTGGGGTGCTGCGGATGAAGCACTTGATCTGCCCTTTCTGGCCGTGCAGGGCATGCTGTGTCTGGGTGCTGGAGATGATGGGTGGCCCTGCAAGAGACAGGAGAAAGCTGCTGGCATCTCGCATGGGTAGCTGCAATACAAGGTGATTGTATTCCCTTCCCTCCTGTGATGCTCCCCATCATAGGGCTCAAGGAAGCAGCAGGAGGGCAGGAAAAGGCTCTGATGGGCAGCTGCTACATGGAAGCCACCATCAGTGACCTGCAACCAGCCTGCCCAATGCTCTGGAGGGATTTCTGCAGGAAAACCCCAAATTGTTCTAGGATTCTATGATTCTATGCCCAAGCTGGCCATGTCAGCTTGCCTTGGCCTTCACTCACCATGTCTGGTGCAAGAACCATGCCAACAGCCAAGTGAGATGGGCAGATGGCCCTAAACATGTGCTGGGGCTTTCTTCTCCTGGATGGGACATGATGGGAACCCTTTGGGTCCTGTCATCCTCTGGGGTGGCACAAGGCATGCAAGGATGAGCTTCTTGGCTAGCTAAACACGTGCTCACTGACAAACCCAACGCCAACAGAATCAAAAGCAATGATGGGATCTGTAGGCGAGGCCTAAATAATGGTAATAAAAACATCTCTTTATTTCAATGGTTGTATGTGACTTATAAATTCTGGAAGCACTCCAAGACTGGGTGATGCTGGAGAAAAATGGCTTAATAATCATTAAAAGGATCATTTTCCCCAAGGCGAGTGGATTTTAAATGGCACAAATGCCAATGGCTTTGGGTTTTATTATTGCTTCAGGAGTTCAGAGATGAAGGCTTATCATCCTGATAATAGTGTATGACTAAAGACCATTTGTGAGATGAACATGCCCAGAAATAACAGCATGAAGTTGCAGCCTTTTCACATTTGGGGCCGGCAATTGACTCTCCATCACACTCTGGCTCCTTCTGAAAGCTGCCAATCTCCAGCTTGGCATTCAGTGCTAAGTGTGAGACAGCCCACAGGCAGGAGAAAGGCTTTAAACAATGTTGCTATGGATATAGATGATGGAGTTACTGGTTGTGGTTATTTTTAGTACGTCGGTGCCTATTTATTTGTGCGATCCTGGCAGCTGCTGACTTGGGAACCTTGGAGCAAGGAAAGGGTGGTTGACTTCTCCATCCTGCTTGAGTCCATATGAACCTTTCTTCTCTGGCCTCTGCAACCTTGGCAATGGTTTGGCAACAGAGTTTGGTTTAAATCCTTGCTTCCTGCTATGTGCAGGGACGCTTTCCATAGACCAGGTTGTCCAAGCCCCGTCCAACCTGGCCTTGAACACTGCCATGGATGGGGCAGCCACAGCTTCTCTGGGCACACCGGGCCAGGGCCTC